ACCATCTTGGAACGTGGAAAATCAAGTTACGCAAGAAGTATAGCAGAATTGCTGTACATGAGGGAGGGTCCATTCAAAGTTTATGGTCATAAATTTAATGTGAAACCAATCAACCAATTCTGTAATTTTTTTCCAGCCACTTTGAGTTGCTCCATTCCCAGCACAGAGAAGGCATATAGCTGGATTCATCTAACATTATACTTTTGTGAGGTGAAAGCAATGATTGGAGACTGGAGGAAGGAAATTAAGGGTATTAGCAAGAGAATGAAGGATCATAAAGGGAATTTAGGAAGGGAATTAAGAAGGGACTAAAAGCAGGAGGAATGCACAGGGAGTTTTGAAGGGGATTTTATTTATTCAGTTTACTCAGTCACTCAACAATTGAGCTCCTACTATGTGCCAAACCTAGTTGTAGGCTCTGTAGATATAATGTATTTATGAACAAGACTGACCAACTCCTCTTACAGAGTAGGGTAAGATGGACAATAAAGAATTAAAACCAGCCGGGCGCGGTGGTTCATGCTTATAATCCCAGCACTTTGGGAGGCCGAGGCGGGCAGATCACGAGGTGAAGAGATTAAGACCATCCAGGCCAACATGGTGAAACCCCATCTCTACTAAAAATACAGAAATTAACTGGGCATGGTGATGCATACCTGTAGTCCCAGCTACTCAGGAGGCTGAGGCAGGAGAATCGCTTGAACCCGGGAGGCAGAGGTTGCAGTGAGCCAAGATCACGCCACTGCACTTCAGCCTGGTGACAGAGCAAGACTCCACCTCAAAAAAAAAAAGAAAAAAAAAAAAAAAAGAATTAAAACCAGTAAGTGTAGTTTAAAGTCAGCTATTTCTAAGGGCTATGGAGAAACATCAAATAGGGTAAGGGGATACAGAGCAACAAGTGGAAGAGGAGAGAGGTGGTGATTAATATCCCTTCCCAGGTGGCATCCTGGGAAGAGAACCTGCTCCAGTGAAATTAGCAAAGACCTGACTGAAACAAGGGACCAAGCCTTAAAAGAGCTGTGGGAGTAGTATGCAAGGCTGAGGGGACAGTGAGGGCTTTTCTATTTTTAAATGTCATCAGTAGTTGAATAGTAAAGCAAAATAAGCCATGATAAACAAGGTATTTTTTCCTTCCTTATTGTATTTTTAATTGGTGTTCTCATAATACCATGACACAGCTGTTTTAAGCAAGTAGGTGTTATGCAAAGGTCATTAAAGTGACCAACTGGTTCAGTCAAAAGTCTCATATAAGTAGACAAAATGTTTAAAATAAATATAGATATACCCTATATGATCTATTAATGTCCAGTTTGGCACTTCATTCTCCAGTGCCCAGCATTGGAATACCAACCATTCCAACTATTAATAAGATTCAGTTGATATTTGTTGAATAAATTTTCATGCCTACATACAGTTTAACACTTAAAAAACAAAACATCCCCCTCCAAGCTATTTCCAAAAAGTTCTTCTAAAGGAAGAGTTTGAACACAAGCCCAAGGTCTCTTTTGCTTTGAGAATGTGGGAACTTTCTTTACATGGCTTTGTAGAAAACGTAGATATAATTCACATACCATTGAAATTCACTCTTATAAAGTATACAATCTACGGCTTTGTGTGTGTTCACAAAACTGTGCAGTTATCACCATTACCTAATTCCAGAATATTTTTATCACCCTACAAAGAAACCTCAGCCGGGCACGGTGGCTCACTCCTGTAATCCCAGCACTTTGGGAGGCCGAGGTGTGCGGATCACGAGGTCAAAATATCAAGACCATCCTGGCCAACATGGTGAAACCCTGTCTCTACTAAAAATACAAAAATTAGCTGGGCATGGTGGTGCGCACCTGTAGTCCCAGCTA